ACCGCCTCTGCCTTCACGGGTTTTGTTGTGTGGTTTGTTTTGTTAGTTTTTCTTTGCACTGTATCTCGGTGGTGACTATCTAGACCCGTACATCCTCTAGCCGTTGCCATCAACAATAGCCTTATTTAATTTTTTTTATTTTATTTTATTTTTTTCTAAGCAGTCCTGTTTTTATTATTTCAAGATAGTAGAAATTTTTTACAAATTTTTAACCTATATATATGTATACATAAAAAGCCTTAATCTTTAAATAAAAACTCACTCAATTTATAAAGAACCTAGGTGTGACTAGCTATAGTAGCTGTTTATTTTCTTTCTATTTCTAAACTATATATAGCCAGACAATGAAGACTCAATAATTGGTAACTACTAGCCTATCAAAACTGCCTATTTCTCTTTTTTTTTATAATTTTTACCACCTAGATTTAAGCAGAAAAGTTTATACCTTACTTTTATACAAGAAAAAAAAAACAAATACCATATTTACAAGAGAAAAAAACAAATTTAAAATAAAATAAAAAATAAAATAAAAAGAAAATAAAACAGAAAAAAACAAAAAAAAAAAAAAAAAGATTTTAAACACTATTTAATTATAACTAAAAAAGGATGAAAAAAGTATAAAAAAAAATAGAAATAAACAATCAAGATAGCACTATTATTACCTATACCAAGGTTTAAAAAATTATATACTATTGCAATATTTGTATATCTTTAATATAAAGCTTTGTATAAATTTCTTTCTGATTATTTAACCATTTTTGAATATTTCTTTAAACAAGAGCTTAAACTTGTAGGGTAGCATTTTTATTATAAAATTTTTTAAATAGATTTTTATCGATATATAATATATAATTGTTTTTTATCAATTAAAATTAATCATTATATATCAATTAACATGTTATAAATCAATATATATCTAAGTCACAAAAGTCCTAAGGCAGGGTGCAAAATCTAGAGGAACGGGCCAGATGGTAGTTCCCGGGTTAGTATGATAGGTTATAAATACAGTTAGGATCAGAAGGTTTAAAAGGGTAACTCCCTAGTTGGGTTATAGGTACGACATCTAGTGTAGAACCTGCGGGCGGACTACTTAAATAGGCACCCAAAAGGTGTACGTGTGGCTAGTTGTATCTTCATTGTAACTGTAATAACTAATAATTACTAATAAAAAGTCCTCAGGCCAAGAAGGTCACCTTAATACCGAAAAAAAAAAAAAAAGAAATGATATTTGAAAATTTGTTGAAAATAGTATATAGTAGTTTTAATAAATATTTTTTTATTTATGTATTAAAAATTTTGTAAAATTAAAATTTTTTGTAAATATTAATTTACTCAATAAATATTACTCAATAGTAATGTAAATTAGAATATACAATATATATTTATTTTATATAAAATTTTCAAAATACATAGTATAGTCTATAAATGTGCATCTCTTCTAAAGTGCCACATTAATATAATAACGAAGAATATATTTATAAAAAAACTATTGTATATAAATTTTTGATTTAGCTATAACTTCTGGTTGAACGAACTCGAATAACAATACATAAAAAACTAAAAGTTAGTTAAAAGAGAATCGTTATATATTAATATTACTCTTGAACAAACTTCTAAAGAAATTGATTCTTCTAAAAGGTTTCATTTTACTATGTTAGCTACTGTATTAAGCATTACGCAAAAAGCCTCTTGAGTTTTCTTTTTTGAAGTTCTAAATTAACTCTTAAAATAAGTTAATTTTCAAGATCAGTATGGTATTTAAAAGATTTCAAAACATACAGGTTATAACTCAAAAAGCAGGAAGGTTATAAATAGCATATGTACGTACATACTATAAAAGTTCATATACAAGACGCGGGTCTGTTTCATTCCACCAATTTTTAAACCTTTTAGTAGACCCGGGTTTAGTACTCACCCAGATGTTATATTATGAAAAGAATTATATACATACTTTGTATTTATAATAAGCATTCTAACTACAGTCAGACCTCTCTAAATACACGCCCTTTGGACCACACTTTAATAATGTACATATTGAGAATAATAAGAAAAGGTGCAATTATGAAAGTCAAGTATATATTTGGGCCAGCACTTGAGTGTGTATTTAGAGAGGATGTACACTTATAAAGAGTGTACTTAGAGAATTTGAAAAAAGCCGTATTTGATTCTGTGAATATAAGCTTTTATGGTAGGTACGTACATACACTCCCCTGACAAAAGTCACCGGCTATCGATCATTTTTAGTACTGATCGGTAAAATGATAAAAATTTTCTAACCAATTTTATGGGGAAAAAATTTATTAATGTATTCAAATTTTTTTTAAAAAAATTTCACTAATGCTTTATTATATTTATTTATGTAATTAATATTTTGTAGGATTTCTTCTAGCTTTTTTTACAGCAAGAATATGATTGGGTATGCTATTAATCAAATTTTGGTAAACAGATTCGTCAAGATTATACTACTCTTCTTCTAAAAAGGAAAAGAGCTCAGCCTCACTAGTCGGCAATGGAATACGCCTATGGACCTGATGCTCCAATCCATCCCAAAGGTGCTCGATTGGGTTGAGGTCCGGGCTCTGTGCAGGCCACGGAAGATGATCGACCTGATTTTCCTCAAACCAATTTGATACTACCCAAGCCCGATGAATTGGTACACTGTCATCTTGGAAAGTGTACTCTAAATCAGGATCAAGAATATTCAAAAAAGGTAATAAATGAGTTTCCAAAAGGTCAACGTAATTACTCAATTTTTGTCGGCCATTAATTCAGATCAACGGACCCAAACCATCTGTAGTAAAACATTCTTATACCATCACCCCCCTTCTACCCGACTTAAACATTGGTACAAGACAATTTACATCATATTTTTTATTAGGTAAACGCCAAACATGACTACGACCATCACCTCTAAACACTTCAAACCAAGACTCATCACTCCAAATAATATTATCCCACTCAGAAATCCAATCTAAACGTTCTTTTGCCCAGTTGTAACGGATCTTCCGATTTGGAACACTAATGTATAGTTTTTTCTTTCCGACAATGGGCATAATAACCTTCTTCGTGAAGGTACCGTTGTAGAGTACGTGTAGAAACATTTACAGAGGTCGACTGTAAAAACTCATTTTGTAAAACATTCAAACTAACTTTGCGATCACTTTTAAGAACACGAATTAAGTGACGTTTATCATAATCATTTAATACAGGTGGCCTTCCACTCTGAGCAGGAGGTTTTATTTCACCAGTTTGTTCATAGTAGTTAACTACGTCTTGAACTGTTGATTTTGAAAAACTAAACTGTTGTGTGATAGTTGGAACTGGAGAACCACATCTCCAAGCACCAACTATCTGACTTCATTCATTTTTAGTTAACTCTTTACATTTTTGAGACAGAGAAAAAACTACTAACATGATATCAAATTTTCTTTATTTTTTTGAAAACCACAGTCTTATACTATCTAACCATATAGGTATTAACAATCTATCTTCTAATAATTATAAACGGATTTTCAATGAATCCTTTCGCTTGCTGATCATTACTAAAAATGATCAACAGCTGGTGACTTTTGTCAGGGGAGTGTACGTACGTACGTACGATAGCAAGAATCTGATTGGGTGATCATTTGTTCTAGAAGCATAAAAAAATTTTTTTCATGTTTGTGTAACTGGGAGAAATTTGGGCTAACTGAGAGAAATTTAATAGCATATGTAAGTCACGTTTTTTATAATAATATTATTCCTAAGAATATTACTACCATAAATAGAAGGTTTTAGTTTACAAATTGCCAAATTTTAATAAAGATTGACAGTGGCTTCGAAAACTTTTATTAGTAATATATTTTTACTATGTATATAAAATCTCCTTGTACCACTAAGATCATATAAAAAATGATCTACATTCCCCCTACCCTTAATCATTGGCCCTGCATTTGACCGATAACGATAACCCGATCAATCTTTTTTTTTTATTTCGTTTTTTTTTTTCTTTAATGCAATGTTAATAAACGGTTCAGAATCTGCACAGAATGGGTTAAATCCTAACGAAACTCAATTTCCCTTAATTTTTGATCCAACAAGAAAAGTATTAATACCACAATATGTTCACCCAGAAAAGTATTTACCCCCTATTGTAAACTCGACAGAAAGTAATCCGACTTTTTCAGTTCTTTCAGACGAAGACACAGCTGATGAACAAAATGTGCCATCACCTACTGAAACTAGTCACCTTTCAGTTTTTTCTGCTAAAGATGAACAAGGAGAGTCTTCAACTATACAGTCTAATAAATTATGGACTGAGGAGGAGATCATGATTTTACTCGATTATGTTGAAGCCAACTATGAACAATGGAAAATTTGCAAAAATGAATTTTACAGATTTATTGAAAAAGCAAATGTTTTAAAAAAAAATTTCACAAGAAAACAAATAGGAAAAAAATTAAATACACTTGTAGCTATTTATTCAAAACTTAGAAAATGTAAAGAAATTGGTATCAAATACGTAGGGCAAAAAAGGTTTTGTCCATATGAGAGGATGCATGAAATATTTGGTCATCGACCAATAGAAGAGTATATTATATTAAGGAATACCTCTGAACTTAAGAAGCGTACTTTTCAAAATATTGATTCTATAGATGATGATGATGAACAAACAAAGTCCTCAAAAGTAAAAGCTAAGCGAGCAAAGTACTCTCGTGAAAGAAATATATCAGGTAGTATTTGTGACATTTAAAAAAAATTGTAATATTCAAAAAAATGTGTATTATCAAACTAAATGAATTTGATCAATTCATAGATGATTTAAGAATGATCATATTCAGATTTTCAATTTTCGTTGAAATGTTTGTTATTATTTATAGATAAGAGACTTT